TGAATAATTTATAGCAAGCATAAAAAATAACTGCATCCTACAATTATAATATCTCTTTTGATTTTCGATCGACGACATTCCCGATCCACGGGAATTCGTGAATAGGTTGTAGCAAGCATAAAAAATATCGTGCATCCTCCAATTTTAATATTTCACGAATAATTCGTAGCAAACATAAAAAAACATCATGCATCCATCAATTTTAATGTCTTTTGATTTTCGATCGACGACGTCCACGGGAATTCGTGAATAACTTGTAGCAAGCATAAAAAATATCGTCTATCTTCCAATTCTAATATTTCGTCCATGAGAATTCACGAATAGTTTGTAGCAAGCATAAAAAATACCATACATCCTTCAATTTTAACATTTCGTCCATAAGAATTCACGAATAATTTATAGCAAACATAAAAAATACCGTGCTTGTACCAGTTTTAATATTTTTAATATCGATTTTTATCTAGTAAGAATTCGTGAATGAACTCTATAGCAAGCATTTTTAATATTTCGATCGATGAAAATCGATAGAAAAAGACGTTCACAAGCAGGTAAAAGATATCGCGTGCGATTTTAATGTTTCATTCAGGAGAAAAAAAATTGTCGCGTTTGTATCAACTTCCAATCCAATGTAATATCTCAATAATCGATTTCCATCGATCGAGAATACTCTGAATACCTTAAACGAATCGCATCCAATCGATAATTAATTACTCATTCGTATCGCAGCCAATACCGCGCAACATTAATATTCATAATTGGAAAGCTGTCGCGGCGGTAGACGCGTCACGTGGCCCGCGAATATATCGATATCGGTAAAATAATTTGTATGCGCGGCTCTGGAATCTCGATCCTAATCGGAGAGCGGGGGGGGAGGGGGAGGGGGGAGGGGGTGAACGTCGGTTTAGCGTGTTTCTGTCGACGTCACGCCGCCTTATCACAATAGCCGACCCGGCTTTCCATATTGGCCTCGCATAAATCCGATCATGCATCTCCGATTCCGATCTCAACGGCCGGCCGCCATTAGTTACCAACAGACTTACAATGTTCCCCCTTGGAACGGTGCTTTACTGCGTCGTCGATCGTCGTCGTCGATTTCCTCGGATTATATACTCCCGCCGCAAATATCATCCTCCCTCCCTCTTCCTCCCCCCATCCTTTCCTCCTCTTTCTTTCGCCACTCTTCCGCTTCCTGCCCGTGGAATATTTCCACGGACTCTCGTCGCCGTCCCTTCAGCCTTCCATCTTTCTCCTTGTCACCTTCCCTTCCCTTCCCTTCCCTGGAACGCCGCTTATTTTCTATTCCGCGCGTTCTCTCCTTCTCTCACGGAATTAATATTATACTTTGTCTTCTTGCACCTCTCATCTCTCATCGGTATATACGTCGGTTACACGCTCAGAAAAATTTTAATCGATTTTTACATCGATTCTTTCTACGATTCACAGATCGCGCGAAATTATAAACGCGATGATAATCGATAGTCGATTAAAATTTCCTTCCGTGCAAAACGAGAAGGAGAGAGAGAGAGAGAGAGAAAGAGAGAGATTCTGAGGAAAAATATTCAATCGTTGAGCGTCGAAGCCATTTACTCGCTCCGAGTCCCCCTTTTTTCCTCTCTCTCTCTCTCTCTCTCTCTCTTCTCGACACGCTCGCCCCTACTTAACGCTTATTCCACAACAACCCCCCGGTCGACGACTCATCCCGTATCATCCCCTTATTCCACGCATCTCTAACCCTCCGAAAATCCTGGCCAATGGCGCTTCGTCCAAAAGGGGATACCATTGTCGATCCGACCAATCGTCGCGTCACTCGTATCACGCACATGCAAGAATCGACGCGTTTACACGCGCTATTCTTTCTTCTCTCTCTCTCTCTCTCTTGCTCTCTTTTTTTTTTATCTCTCCGGTTGGCTCGTCTCGTCCTTCTTTGTCGACGAGGATAGTCTCTTTATAATGCATATCAATTTGCGCCTAATGGGTGACACCGTTCCAACGGGTCGCATCTGCGGATTAATAGGAACGTTACTTATATACCAGACGGTTTTTAACGCATGCCCTTCCGCCCGCGCGCACGCGATCATTGCACGATGGATAATACGAAAGGTTAGATCGTACCGGCGATCGATGGTAAAGTTTTTTCATCATATTTTCTTATGATAATTGGATAATTAATCAAGGTGAGAAGAAAATCAAAGGAACATTAAGAAAGTATTTTATTACGAAATAATTTATAATTTACGGAGGATTGATTAATTGAGAATCGTATCGTATTTTAATAATTAAACGTTCACTTTAACTACACTTTCTATTTCCATTAAAATTCATAATTTCAAAAATTGAATCGAGAATTGTATCTAATTTCACTTTGATAAGAACACTCTCGGAGGGGAGAGTACTACGATCTTGGATCGTCGAGCGTAAAAACAGAGAGAAAATCTTTGGGATAACTTGTTCACCGTTGTTAAAGTTCCGAACAAACTTCTGGCCCCTGGATACTTTGTCCAAGCTTCTTCGGAGAATGTTTCGGAAACTTTTTCATCGCATCATCATCCATTAATTTTCCTCCGAGCATCGGTCAGAATTCACTACGAAATACTCTCTTTCTCGTCCCTCTCCTCGATATTTCAATGATACTTTTTATCACTATACTTTTTTTTTTTCACGAAATTTGATCGCAATTACTCGACGCGGCTCCTCTCGTTCTCGGATTGTTGCGCAACATCGTTGAATAAACGCGAGGCAAAATATTTGTCCGAGCTTGTTTTCACGATAAACAAAAAAAAAAAAAAAAAAAGAAAGAAAAAAGAAAAAAAACAAAGAATTCCAGCGTCGAACTCGCTTTTGTACCGGTCGCGGCGGAGAACGATGAAAGAAGGGCGGAGGGCGAGGGCAATAAAGGGGCATCGTGAGCGTACACGCGCGTGAAACGGGGAACGCCTGGAAACAAAGCGGGAAGCCGTGCGTGCGAGCGTTTTTTGAAAATGCCAATTTATTTCGAAAAGAAGGGGGCCACCGAACGACGCGCCAACTAAATGAATTTTAATTGATTTCTCTCCTCGCACAGCCGGGACCCTAATCTTCGAGGCCTCGACGGCCGGCTCGATGATGCAACAACGTCGCGCCTGTATATCGAAATTTCGATCGAATCTCCTCCCCCTCCCTAGTCGATTCAAGATGAAAATAAATTCCAAATATTCCTTTTTTAACTCTTTTTCAGATCGAGAGTATACATATTTCAGAGATATCTCACGATTTCGATTTGCCAATTAATATCACACGTAAAAAGAATTTCGTATATGGGGCTCAGGTAAAAGAATTGTTTGGAATTTGAAAACTTTCTATGGAGGAAAAAACTCGATGGAATACATCGAGTAGAATTGGCGGATGACGAGAGATGACGGATTTCGCGCGAATACGCAGGAGATTCGGTCCGCGTTGGACGGACACGGATTGACGGATAACTAGCGTTCGAGTTGCAAGATTCGAAATGTAGGTATGCGTTGCACGGCGCATAGGAGCTCGTTGAACGATGCAGGCGTGAAATTCGTGCGAACGGAAATACCGTGGTAACGTTAGCACGCTTGAAATATGCGATCAGAAGCGATACAATATTGCGTTCCCCCTCCCCGAGACCCTTAATTGAATTCTCCCTTGCGGCGTTCGCGGTGATCGTTAAAGAACCCGCAACAGGGTTCATTGTACGAAAACTCGTGAACTTTGGTACTTTGCACTTTATATTACATTATGTGTGTATATATATATATATATATGTATGTATAAAGAGAAAATTTCAAAAATTCCTTCTCCCAATCTCTCCACCTTAATCCTCGAGAAGCTTGAGAAAGCAGATTATTGCGATTTCAAGATTTTTTTCAAGACATGCGTAAAACGCGGAAATTTCATTTTTACCAATCGGTTTGAAAAATTCTCGTCGTTGTCTCGATGAAACGACGAAAACGCAAAGGGTTGAAAATAAACACGCGACACGATGAAACGTCCCCTCGCGATAGTAACCATGGAAAATCCCCATAGCTGTATCGAAACAAGTTGTATAATCAATTAACGACGACAGCCCAGCGACAGATGTAGCCGCTAATGGATTCACTCCGTCCCCGTGATTTCACGAGGTGGGATTCGTTCGCGAGACGAGTATATTCTCTCCCTCGAGGAGATAGGGATAAAATTGAAGAAGAAGGAAAAAAGAAAGGAAGGAAAGAACAGTACTAGCAGACACGGTGTTTCGTGGTAACGGCGGACGATTGGACAATAAAACTACAAGGTGAAATTAGTAGTGACTGTCCAGAAAGGAATCTCACAGTAACAGCAGCCGGTCCCCGTGAGAGAGAAAGATCCGTGTGACTCGGTGGACGCCTGGCGTCTGTCCGTCGGGCCCCGATATCCGATGGGACGACTCGCGTCACGACCGTTTCACGTGTGTGCGTATACCGTGTAAATACATTGTCGAGGAACGCTCGGGCATAAAACGGCACAATATATGGCCCGGTAATTTCTTAATTGCGCCCCGAAAAATTCTTGTCATCGTAAACAGCCGGTTGATTACGTTGAAACGAGTGGAGGCGCCGGGGGCGTTTTCGTTTCGGATGTAACGAAGGCCGGGCCAAAAGAGTGGACAGAGAGGAGAGGTTGGGGGAAGGGCGATAGTTACGGCCCTGGCCGCTTATTTATGCGTCTCTAGAGCGGTTCCTAATCCTTTTGTCGTTGGAGTAACAATTTCCCTTTATTATTCCTTTCCTTATATTCCTGCCCGAGCATCGCGCGAGATCTCGTTTCGGAATTGGATCGATCTCCTTTCAACTTATCTACGGCAGATAATATTTTTCTTCTCGAAGAAAAGGCAACATTTCGAAAAGAGACTCTCGAAAACCGCGTTTCTCTCCCGAACACGATTCGAGAGCGAATCGGAGCGAACGTATGACACTGTGGTGAACTGTGGTGAATCGTGGTAAACTGTTAGGAAGAAGAACGAAGCAAGATACACTCACCGGTGTGCGTCCTCTTGTGAATTTTCAAGTTCTCGGATCTCGCGAAGACTTTTCCGCAGCCAGGGAACGGGCAGGGGAAAGGTTTCTCGCCGGTATGCACCCTTATGTGATTGACGAGCTTGTACTTGGCCTTGAAGGCCCTGCCGTTACGGGAGCATCCCTGCCAGAAACACGCGTGCGTGGTGCACTCGGGACCGCCCACGTGCTCCACGGTGAGGTGCGTCACGATATCGTGGAGGGAGTTGAAGAGTTTGCCGCAAAGCTTCCTTCCGGGACCGGGCGCGTCCTGATCGACCCACATGCAGGACATCTCTTGCCTCTGGCCGCCGCCGATGCCACCGGCCCCACCGCCGCCTCCTCCGCCGCCTCCTCCACCGCTTCCGTTGCTCCTCATGTACCTGAGAAACGCGCCGTGGGGATGATGGCTCGGATGAGTGACGGCCGAGTGTTGTTGATGATGGATCGAGGCGGGCGTCAAATGGGGCGCGCCCAAGTATTGGTGGTGAGGGGGTAGCCTCGAGTCCTGGGGATAGTGGCCGGGATAGTGGCCGGCCGCCAGGGGATGTTGGCTCGGATGATGGGAGAATTGCTGCATCGAGGCGGCCGTCCCGTCGTGGTGGAGCGGCGTGAACAATCCCAGCCCGCTCTCGGGCGTGGTTGGGTTCGCGGTCGCGTTGAACTCGTGCTCGCGGCGTAGAAGGAAGTCGCGGGCCGCGTAGCCGGGATGATGGCTCATGTGGTGGCCCATGTGGGGCGCCATGTGGGACGCCGGATGGGGGTGATGAGGGGGATATCCTTGGGGGTGAAAGTGGTGATGTTGCTGGGACGGGGCGTCGCCTGGTGGCGGTTGGACACCTGTACCCGCGTCCGTGGATCCAGCGGTGCCACCGCCACCGCTGGGCGACAGCTTGATGCCAAGATTGGCGAGGTGGTGCGGATGCGAGGACACGCCGTCCAGGAACGCGTTCATCATCCTGATTCTATTTTTTTTTTTTTTTTTTTTTTTTTTTTTCGGTTTCGGTCAGTTGAGAAACGAGATCATGTCTCGCCTAACGGAGTCACTCGTTCGATCGGCCGGCGAGCAGAATCGTACACCGCTGGAATCATACGTTGCAAAAGCGTATACAAGTAGTCCATCCGCAACTTCACTCTGCAGTTCTTCGAATTTCCCGTTTCTCGTTTCCCGCGACGTCCATCTGTGCTTTCTTTTCCCTTTCTTTCCTTTCCTTTCCTCTTCGATCTCACTTCGGATAGATTCACCGCAGCAATTGCTCGGAACGGTGAAGCGAAGAATTCGATTTTCGAAATTTTCGAGATAATTTTCCCGATATCGCGTTGCTTTCGAATCCCGTTTGTACGACACTCAACTTGAACCGCAACACCGTGTTTGCGACGACGTCTGTCCGCGTCGAACCACTTTCATCGACCACGACGACACCGACGATTCTCGTGCATGTTCGAAGAAGAAGAAGACGACGACGACGACGACGACGACGACGACGACGACGACGACGTGCACGGAGACGGTGACGAACATAGAGGGTGAAACATCCGTAGCGTTCCTTGCTGCGTTCACAGCGGGACTGAGAGTCGGCACTGGGCTCCCGCCGAGGAGCAACTCGGCCGATTTCGGCGCTTACGAGCCTGCCCTCTCTCTTTCTCCCGTCCATCCCTTCCTCTCTTTCGCTCTCCTCGCTCGCCAGCCACCCTCCTTCTTCTCCCACTCCCACCCCTCCCCTCCTCCCGTTTCTCTCTTCCCCTCTCGCTCCGGCACGTGGAAACGAGCGCGCGGCCAGCCCGCTTGGAAACACCCCCTACCCCCACCCAAGGCCACCCGTTGCACCCGTGGATGCAACCATAACCTCGACCAGTGGCGGACGTTCCCTGCCTGATACCAGCGTTCCATTGGCGACTATGGCACCACTGCCAATTGGAGACCCGTTTCCTGGCCGAGCCTCTCGCCAATCTAACCGGTTTCCATGGGCGGGAAACGCGGCAAGGCGCATGTCGGAACTCCGCCTTTTCACGCACGCCTATCGCGGGAGGATGGCCCCGTCCAAGGGGGCCATCCCGAATCCCGCCGCCCGATCATCCTTTTTTTTCTTTTCCGTCCGAGTTTCCCAAGTTTTTCGAAACAGGACCTCCGAATCCCGCTTCCTCCGGATCCGTATCCCTCGACCGGACACGACAAAGGTGTCGTGACAGCTCCGTTACTCTAAACTACTCTCTAGCGTCTTTTAAATTTTCACCGGGGATTTAATTCAAGAGGTAGAGAGAGAGAGGAGAGGAGGGGAGGGGAGGATCACCGATACGAATCTAATTACGAGTTTCGAAGATAATAGGTTGTAGTAAATCTTTTCTATGAGAGATCCTTCGCGATCCAGAAACACAACGCAGCCATACCTACCTAAACGACCGGTTAACGAGGATTAACTTCTCGATCCTATCGTCCGTCTCAACACCATTCGTCTCAACACCTTTCACAATATTTTCCAACCGCGCGTATGCGTCTCTACCCCCTCCTTCTGCCTCTAATTCTGCTTCCACTGCTTTCGCCCCTGCGGGAATAGGGGTGGGGAGCAAGATCCGCGCGCCTCGAGTGCTTTCGCATTCAACGCGGGATTACGGCTGGAAAATATCGTAATATCCCGGTCAGGAAAGTCGCGACGAGTCACGCGAGCCCCTCGTTTATAAATTATCAAAGTGGAGGAACTCTTTTCTCTCCCGACCGTTTAAACCCCCCCCCCTCCCCCTCCCCCGGCTTTAATAAAATTTGCATGCACGCGTGTAATCACGCGGGCCGACCGGTTAACCGCTCCTTCCTCGCTTTGCTTATCCAATTAACCGAGTTTACTTAACCGCGTCGCGAGCGTCGATTAATTACCGACCGGACCGGTGTTTTCTTCTCGCTTCCGGGTGACCGGCCCCCGCGATATCCGACGCGGAAGCTCGCGTGCGCGCTCGCTTGCCGAGGATCAAAGCAGCTCGATATTTCATTGCCAACGAATTTCTTCGTTTCAACCGCCAATTTTCTCCGACATCCGCGGATATTTTTCTCGCGCCCCTACTGATTTCGAGATGAGATTAAACTCGATTAAATGAGTAAAAAAAGAATAAGATGGAAGGGAAGGTGGTGGGAGGCAATCTGTAGTATCTTATATGATGTTTTCATCGGTAAAGTGGAAAGTGTTATTAGAAAGTGTTAGAAACAATAAATTATTGCGGATGAGTAGATATATATATAGATGGCTTATTTCACAAGGATTATCACAAATGAAGGAAATTAACGATTCCAGAGTCCTTTGACTACCTAACGAATCTCTTTTGTCCTTTTGCTATTAATAAATGAATTTAAAAAGGATTGCAAAAAGATGTTTCCATCTTGCTTTTGATTTTCGATCAAATTTTTCTGGATCGAGAGAGATTTTGATCGTGTGATAAGGAAGCGGAGACGGATCTTATTTCCCTTCTCTTCGCCTAAGATAGGTCTAGATAGGTTTTAAATCGTTGCTTTCCTCGGGAAGAAATTAAAAGAAAAAAAAAAAAACTACGTTTTATAGACATTATATGTAGTTTTATAGACAGTGTTCGAGACGTTAAAATACAGTTATTTTTGCTTGCTTTACCTGCTTTTAACAGCTTACTCGCCCGAAATAATGCTTAAAAGTCCGAATAATCTGTTGACTAATGAACCAAGATCGGAAGTGAACGCTGTCGGTTTGCGGAAACGCATCCTCGAACAATCGCTCGAACTTGTGTGCCTGCTGTGACGCGCGTTTATAAACCTATAAATCATCTATAAATCGTTTCAAGTTTCGTTTCCGAAAACAGAATTAAAGAATTATTCGGCAGGTAATCTGGAGGAAGGAACGTTAACCTCCGATTTCGATTCGTATTTTTCTTCAAACAAAGATATACGTATAAATTCGAAATCGGTTCAAAAATATAAAATATGCGTATTCTAACTTTGTATTAGACAAAGATTCGACTACGTTTCGTGGCGAGCCGCCATACGGATATATTAACGAAGCTTAATCATCCGCGTGAATAATGCAAACGCATCGAGCGTTTAACGGGGTGCCTCATTGTCGCGGGAAAAAATGGCGTCCCATTATGTCCGTAATGGGCACGGTGGCTGACTATTCGATATTAATAACTATCATAAAGGCTGACTCGTGGCTTCCTTGGTGCACTTAGGAGGTACATCTGAATGATGCTTTCCATCCACCTTCTGTCGCTTAACTAACAGCACGACCCGTTCTTGCAGCCCGCACATCGATCCTCCTTCTCCCTCTCCTCTGCCCCTGCACGATCGTCTACACGACCGACTTTGTCCGCCAGCATTCAAGCATCATTTTTATCGGCCTGCCACCTCTCTTTATCCGTGCTCCATTTCCACCTTCGAGGGTACAACTCTTGTAGCCAGAATTGGCGCACCCTTTCGTCAATCGCTAATTGGAATTTGATATTATCAAGAATATTATTATATATCCTTCCTTTCGAAGTCGTTCACGTTTCAATAATCGTTAGATGGATTTAATCTATTCCAGACGTAACCAACGTTATCTCCAATCGTGATAATTCGGATTGTAAAATATATATCGATCAATTTTTGCAAGGAATCTTATTATATATTCCTTTCGAAGTGGTTCGTATTTCATGTTCAACAATCGTTCTGTTCCAGATTAACATTATCTCCAATAATTCCTATCTCAGTGGATTAAAAATTGGGGTTGTAAAATCTGTATCGATCAATTTTTGCAAGAAATCTTATTATACATCCTTCCTTTCGAAGTCGTTCACGTTTCATGTTCAACAATTGTTCTGTTCCAGATTAACATTATCTCCAATAATTCCTATCTCACTGGATTAAAAATTGGGGTTGTAAAATTTGTATCGATCAATTTTTGCAAGGAATCTTATTATGCATCCTTCCTTTCCTTTCGAAATCGTTTACGTTTCGTGTTCAACGATCGTTCTGTTCCAGATTAACATTATCTCCAATCGAGATAATTCCTATCTCAGTGGATTAAAAATTCGGATTGTAAAATCTGTATCGATCAATTTTTGCAAGGAATTATTATACATCCTTTCTTTCAAAGTCGTTCACGTTTCAACAATCATTAGATGGATTTAATCTATTTCAAACGTAACCAACATTATCTCCAATCTCATGATAAGAGAGATAATTCTTATCTCAGTGGATTGTAAAATTCGTATTGTAAAATATGTATCGACAAGTTATCATCTTACGATCGATAGTTAAAAATTTACTTGTGCCGTGTTCCTCCATCCGGATGAATGATACGCGGGATGGATCCGCAAATTTTCTCCAACTTTTCAACATCGGAACGGTACACGCGCGGATTATTAACGACCTCTCGCGTGCGATCTCTCGACGGACGGTATTGGCGAGTTGCACATCGGCGTGCTGGCCATCAATCTAAGGGTCCGCGATAGAACTTTCATCGCGGGGGTACGGTTACAGGGTCGCGAAACGCGAACACGAGAACGGCGTGACGCACCTACGCGATCGTTGGCCGAACAAACCATCAACGAGGCCAGACATTGTTTTTATTCGGTCACGCTCCCCGTACACTCGTTACATTTAATTAATCGTTAATTGCGGGATCGTGAGTATATCGTCGAGAGTTGCTACTATCGTGCAATCATGGTGGAGCTCAACTTCCGTTTCTCCTCTCGAATTTTTTTTAATCGAGTTGTGGATAAGTTGTGCACTGTGAAATTGTTGATTCCTTCAAACGATTTTTCGATGAATGTCGAACAGGGAAATGGGCTCTTTTTTTTAAACGTTCGATGATTAATTATTAGATATTATTTGTTTTTTTATTTTGTGAAATATTTGAGAAAGAAAGATTTGAGATTACTCAAAGTTCAAGATTTATTTCCCATTAATTCTTGTAATTTCAATCCCTTCCCTCATGAATTACAATCTACTTCCGGATGTAACGCGTATGAACACGTAAAAAACAAGCTCGGCCAGTCAATTTATTTGTTCCTCGATGCGTGAATACGCGAAAACACGAACAGCTGTGAAAATCCATGTATGTGTATTATATATATATATATATAATTGGAAACGTTCGCAAAATTTATAAACCTGCTAAGGAATTTTGTTTTGAAGGAAAGAAACAACGATTCCTGTTTTTTCTAAATCAGGACCAAAAGAGACCGACACGCAAAAGCTTGTAGATGCTAGATGCGGTTAGATGGAATGATAAAAAAAAAAAAGAAAAGAAAGGAAAAAAAAGATCCGACTCTTAGATCTTGTCTGAAAAGTCATTAGAGATACGATGATCTGTCGGTCAGGCCATAATAGCCTGTTCTACACTTCCTCTTAGCAACTTCTTCAATTTTCTTTTACCGTTTATTTTCTTAAAATTTAAATTCAACGAACGAGAAGTGGTAATTACCCATGAAAACTCTTTTTGAAGCTCTTCTTCGTGCTGAGATAAGTCGTTGAAGGGGAAGAGTAGAATTGTGTATGATACCTACGAAACTCAACTACGAACGCTTTCGTTTCGAC